AAAGCATTTTCGTTTAATTTATTTAAATATCGTTATTCGAAGTTTAAAACTTTGGCACGCATAAACATCTTTAAAGCTAACAAGTAAGTATGCTTACAGTATGGAAGCGGGCTCAAAAAGGTTCGCCACCCCTGTCCTACAAGATCTGTCCCAGAAGTAATATTTTATGGACATATCTTACTAATAAAAACAAGTAATTATGAACTAATAAAAATATAAATTTTTAAAATATCTTTATAAATTTAAAATATTCAAAACTTAATTTCATTATTCCTAAAACTTCGTAAAACATTTTCATTTAGTTTAACTTTCAATTCAGATAGAGTTCACTGTTCGGTTAAAAGCCGTATTCATAAAAGTATAAAATGTAGGACGTGTTTTAGTCATTCCCACCGGAAATATTTCTGTTAGTTCTGAATTTGGAACAATTCCGACCTGAACTATCCCTTCTACTTCAAGGCATAAGGTAAAAATCCGCTGGAAAAATTTATTACCAGAAAGAAGCGTTAAAACAACGGGAAGTTTTCTCGGTTGTTGTAGTAAAGTTGTGTTGATGACGAGTAAAGACCAACATGAAATACAGTTACAAAACAGTGAACAGGATGCTACAGAAATTCACATTCACAAAAGAAAAGAACAAAAGAAATAGTCTAGGACGAATGCTAAACATGCAATACATTTAAAGCCAATTTAAAAGAATAATAATTTCAAACTTTCTTTAGGATATTGGATAAAGATTGGTAATTGGTAATTTTGTGATACTTTTTAAATTTATCTTCATCAAATAAGTAATGTAAGATAGATTTGAAATTTCACTCGAAGGTGGCGTCGAATACATTAAATTTGAATTTTGTTCTTTCTAGTAAACTGTTACTTTTTAACTGTTAACTGTTAGCAGAAATATTTCTATTATAAGAAGAAAAAAAAAGGATTATCGTAGAAGTGTTGAAGGAAACTAGTTTTATCTTAAATTTACAAACAAAATATTGAAAGTAAGTGAGTTATTCTTTGATATTTCAATAAATTAAGAACTGGAGATATATTTAAATACGCGGTGATTATTGTTTTACTGTATAGTGCGTTTAATTTCTTTGGCTATTTGGACAACATTCTTAGCTTTCGCAATAAAATTCTAGACACATCAAACACAAACACTGTTCAATAATTATTGTCGATTAGCGAAGTAAAATAATGCAACGTATACGTAATGTTAGTTGCATGTATCCTGAGTATTTTTCATATTTTTTAGGTCCAAAAGGAGATACGACAAAATAACCAATATGTCACGAAATTATTACTCAAGATGTCATCAAAGATACTTTTGAAAGCCACCATGATGGTGAGTGAAAGAAAGTGTTCAATATACAAGACATTTGTGTGGTCACAATTTTAATGAAAATGTTAAAAAAACGGAGCACAATTAATGCAATGTGGTTTCTGTTTGGTTTGGCACTACACGAAATGCTAGGCATCAATTGAAGAAGGGTAAGATGTGATAGCGATTCAGATAAAGATTGAAGTTTTGTGTATGCACGTACTGTACAGTACATTTATGTACATAGTACAGTATATGATAAAATGAAATTTATTATTTATAAATTATAGTACAGTGAAACAGATTTGACCAATGACATTTTAGACGAGTTCAGTAAATAAACTAAGTACATCAGTGCATATACGGATCGTTTAGTAAAAGAACCGATTCAGCGTTCAGAAAACTCAGTTGCTTGCATTGCCAGCACTAAGCGTACTGTGTTTAGACTTTCTATCAGTGCAACAATGTAGCTGCTCCTACGTGTTACTAATTTCGTTACGAAGAGTACGAATTTTCTTTATTTTTGAATGAAGAATTGTTAGACAATTGAAAACGGTGTGAATGTTATACAAGTAATATTGTACAATGTTTTTTTTTTTTTTAGTAATAGCAAGGCTCACCAGTGGTCGAGTGTACCACTGAACACTGGTCAATAGGCTGGCCACTTGGAGTTTTCTGGGTATTCTTCACGTTTGTAACGCCTAAATTGGGACTAATTTCCCTAAAAGACCTTCCGGGAGGATTTCCCCCTCAATAGATCGTCCATGTTTCAAGTTGTCTTAATCGAATAAAACCAAACTTAGTAATAGTTACCTTGTAAACCTTATAAGAGTTACTTTTCCGACATTTTGAAAGCATACACTGATTGTCAGCAATTCTTTGCTATATTATACTATTTTCTATGCATGGTAAAGAAAAGAACTGGTACTGATACCAAGTTTATTTACTGAATTCGATTTTTATTATATCGATTAAAGTTTTCAAATCTACTTATGACCTGATTTACACCTAAGTTAGTATTCATTATTTTAACAAAATTTACGGCTGTGAATAGTGGTAATTTTATACGTAGGAAATCTAACTTGTTTTACTTGGGACTTCAGATACAGATATATACTTGTCAATAATCGATCTTGATTCAAAATCCTATACTAGCCTGGAGCCTAGGCTAGTATTGTGTGATACAAAATTTACATAAAAAAGAACCACCGCAAGTCCACGCTTCTCTTTTTTTTTTTTTAGAGTCTCGCGCAATCCAAAACCGTTACCGAATGAATGTTTATTTTCTTTTTGAATGTTAATGCAAATTATAATGCAAGTTTTATTTAATCCTGTTAATATATTTTCGTTATAAATTGCAAAAAAAGATTTTAATGAATAATTTAAAAAGATAATAAACAAATAAATAAAATAAAAGTGTTAAAAAGGATTAAATAGCGGTTTAGCGTAATGGACACTTTCAATAGGTTAGCGCGCGTTGTCTGATTTCATTTAAAATAAAACCGTCATTTAAATTTGTTTTAAAATCTATTGGAATTTTTATAATTTTTAAATGTTCGTGTAATTTTCTTTACTAACATCTGGCAACTGGCTTTAACACAGTGGGTAGTGGCAGCATAATTTGTTGGGCTACAGTTTGAAAAAATTGTAGTCCTATAAATTCTTACTGTCGTCCGTCCGTCCGTCCGTCTGTCTTTCTTGAATCTCGAGAACGGAGAGAGTTAGATGAAGTCCGAGACCAAATATGAAAATCTTGGGGACTGGAGGCCCGATTAACTATAAACGAACTTCTGGTTTGCACTGAACGTCACGTTATTTCAATTCAAAACTTCCCCTGAAAGTTAATAGATAACCGGCACAACTCCATTGTTAAAGGAAAAGTATGATGTACAGGGGCAAGCCAGTACTAATTTGAAGTGGAGAGAATATATTTTAAATTAAATAAATTAAAAATATGATTAAAAATTGTAACCCGGCATTGTGACGATGTCACAGTAAATAATTGCTCGTATAATTGTATTTTATTGCGCGAATATGTTCTCTCAGCCTGATTTTCAGTTCTCTTCCTGTTTCTCCAACGTAATAGAAGGGTGGTTGGCAACTGCAAGAAAATTTATATATCACATAATCGGTTAACAAATGTATTTTTTATTTTTCGTAGTGTCAAAATTATTATTTAATTGTATAATTATTGTATTGTATAGGTTCGGTGTTAAAACAATACATGGTCTGAAAATTTTTTGAAAGTTTTCGACTAAACTATGTAGTGTACTACATATACGAAACTTTAATATAAATCGGCTCTTTAGTGGTAATTTGTTTATTCATGATAAAGTTTTCAAACTGGAAATTCATCCAAAAAGACAATTCAAAGTGATTAATTTTACTCTTCTAAAACATTTTCCTGTATGATAAGTTTAATATTTTAACGTTAAAATGACAAATTTAAGAAGTACAACAATTGAATAAAAGAACAAAAAATTCTGAACACAAATAATTTCTTTCTGGTCCATTCACTAAACGTTTTTCTTTGAAAATAGGCTAAACATATGAACAGGATCAGTTTTAAGTCGAACGGATCTAGTATTTGTTAAGGTTGGGCCTATATATGAACAATTATTTTAGAATATGATCAGTTTCGCTGAACATCAAAGTTGAAGTTCAAATCATTCTTGCAATTATTTATTTATAATCTATACATTGTTGATCTTTATTTTTACGGTATGTTATTACTAATTATAAATAGTATAGTCTACTATTAACACATCAATAATGTAAGTTTTAAAAATATATGAATTTTTAAAATATATGCCTGAAATATTTTAATAATAAAATATGATGTAAAAATAAATATGAACACAAATACATTAGTTATAATAAAAAAAGTAAGTGTTTGTAGCCCTTATAAAGTTTATAATATATTCATAAGTTATTAATATAAATGAAAGCATTTTATTTTAAGCTGTATAAAGAGAATCTACCAAAGAAAATGTATAAAAAGAACCTATTTTTTCAAAATATCAGTAAAACTCCATATTTTTAAATCAAACTGTTCTTGGTGAAAATCATCTGAAAGCTTCAAATAAAAATGAAAGAAAATAAGAAACATTACCAAAATGTAATTAATCGTATTTATAATTTTTCTCTGTAATAAAAAATCTTATTTAATGTTACTGTTAAATTTATAAAAATTTCTTAATTGAAATTGAAAATAAACAAATTCAAGTCCTTCAGATTTTTTAAATTTTTATTTTGTTCGTCTGTGAAATTGCTTCCTTGCATATCCGAAGTTGCGTTAAAGTAATTTAATTGACACGTCACAAAATTCTTTCGCGAATATCATCCAGATAGTGACATTTTCGATACAATAATTTTAGTTACAATTGTTTTTAAAAATTTTAGAAAGTTTAAAATTTCAACAATATTATAAATTACAATTATAAATTATTATAATTATGAAAGACAACAAATTTAAATTATTATACGCTTATATCAAAATTTTAATGATAATTTCGATGACTGAAACATTTGGATTTTTTAATGTTTTGTTTAACGGCTTTTAAATTTAAAATAAATTATTAATATTAAATATATTTTTCTAGTGTTTAAGATAATTTACTTACAAAAAGTTTGAAGCAAGTCGAAAATATTTTTAATGAGAGAAAAAAAGTCAAAATGTCTTTATGAATCTGTAAGTAATTTTTCCAACTTTATAATCTGGATTTCGTCGTCAACATAGAACAACAAAAGAAGGTCACCCATCTTGAAATCATCTTGAATCTCACAGCTGACGACAAGCGTCCACCCTCTCGTCGTTCAGGTCAACTGGATCGGATTACAGCTCTTCTTTTTCTTTTCTGGAACCAGACAGCGTAGGCGGATTAAAATCGCGAGGTTATTAGAAGCTACAAAAGTTGGTGATTCGTATAACTGAAGAGCAGTCGGATCTGCGTCCTTTCCATCCGTTCGTGTAACAAAATAATTCACTTGATCACTCGAATGGCATTTACATAAAGTGAAACAAGTTGGCATTTTTCATAAAGGACCCAAAATGGTCCATTGGACTCTTTCTCTATCTTTTTTATTCATCGTAGTTTCGGCACAAACTCCCGATCCTATTGATGATTTCGGTAAGTTTTCATTGTTTATCTAAGCATTTAAAAATGTTATTCAGTTAAATATAACTTCATCTATTATTTTGAAAAATGGATATTTTCACGCGGTTCTTTTCAATATGATACGATATGACGAATTGTTTTGATTTTTTTCGCAATTTTAATGGAAATTTAGCGATTTTCATAAAAATATTTGTCATTGAGTTATTCATAATCTTGTAAATATTAAAACATAAAATATTATATATATGTATTTTTCTACTATATGACTTTATTGTATAATTATTAGAAGGGCCTAAATAATATGCAGTATAACTGTACGTAAAAATAAACTAAGTGGCAAAACTCTGAATATTATGATAAATAAAAATATTTTATGTTTATTCATTTTACTATTTTTTTATTTTTTTTATCTTTGAAAGTGAAGAATGGTTATTATTACGTTTACTATAAGAAACCAGTTGTTACGATTAAATATTTATAATTTATTTATGTGTCTTATTTATTTTTCTTCGTTCACTTTTATAAATTTAAAATATTCAAAACTTAATTTCATTATTCCTAAAACTTCGTAAAACATTTTCATTTAGTTTAACTTTCAATTCAGATAGAGTTCACTGTTCGGTTAAAAGCCGTATTCATAAAAGTATAAAATGTAGGACGTGTTTTAGTCATTCCCNCGTTTAATCTGATATTTTATTTTGGGCACTTGTTTTGAGATACGTTTATAATGATCATAACAACAAATATTCAGATATAGCTTACTTATTATCTATATATTAACTTTACTTATTAGCTATAGCTTAATTAATATCTACATTATTCATAGATTTTAGGAAATTTGATTCAATGTTTAGTGTTCAATATAATTAGAGACAACACTAATCATACATACACGTTTTAAATTTCTATTAGTCCAAAGCTTAAAAAGTTCTATTATAATAATTATTTGGATGAATTTACGTTTGAAAATGAACATAATCCGTAAGTATTAAACAAATTATCATCACATTAAATTAACAATTTGTATGATATTACACATTTTTACATATTTGCATATTTAAATAAAACTATTTTATCTAAATAGTTTTTATTCTAAACTTTATCCATCAATTAAATGTATATACAAATGTAATTTATATATATTTTTTCAGGAATTGATAATCCTTATAATTTCAAAAATTTCGAAACAAATTAAGAATATCAACAATAAAGTCGACAAATTTTGAATTAGAAGCTTTAGAACACAAGGATATAAACATTACAGAATAATATGAAATTTTAAGTACAGGTAACCCCCGTATAACATGGTAGTTACATTCCAAAAAATTGCCGTGTTATGCGAATCCGTGTTATACGAAACAAAGAACTAGTACGAAAAGGAGGGTTAGGTTCCAAAACTTAAAAAACATGCTATTATATTTTCATAATTAAGATAAATATCTTTATTAAAATTTTCTTAAATGATTACATATTAATATAAATTAAACAATCTTTTCTTCGTCATCACTAAAAGCACTATTAACCGAGAGCATTTTCTTTTTGGCATCTTTTTTGATCCTTATCCTCTGAGTATNACAAATGTAATTTATATATATTTTTTCAGGAATTGATAATCCTTATAATTTCAAAAATTTCGAAACAAATTAAGAACTTCAACAATAAAGTCAACAAATTTTGAATTAGAAGCTTTAGAACACAAGGATATAAACATTACAGAATTGAATGAAATTTTTATTTTATTAATTTTTATATTAAAAAAATTGAAATGAAAGGCTAAAATAAAACATTTTATTTAAATAGTTTTAATCCTAAACTTTTGCCATCAATTAAACAAATATATTTTAATAGAATAGTAACAAACTAAATTTATAGTTTTAACCTCGTTAAAATTACAACAAAATTGGCCCTTGACCTAATTTGGTCGTTCTGCTTGGTAGTTCATTACTTCTTCAATGTTGATATCAATGGAATGAGTGTTAAGTTGGGCAGCTGGGTATCAACATAGTTTAATGTCCTCCATGATTTTCTTTTTCTCTGGCAAAAGAATGCCGCTCACTCAATAGACTTTAATAAATATAATTGCTTTGAAAGTTTTTGCAATTGTAATTCTAACTGCAAATTGTAAAAGTTGCGAATACTTTGAATATTTAATTTATTAATTACTTTTTTCATATTATTTCTTTCAAATTACCCTCATAATATGATGATACAAATTAAAATTACAAATTTTTAAATAGTTTTTTTTTTATCTCCCACAAGATCTGCTGTAGAAATTTTAGGAGTTTAAGGGTATAAATGTGGAAAAATTAGATTTTGAATATTTTCATAGTTTTTTGCGATTTTTTATGGGCAAGTGCCTCGAATTTGATGGGTTTTTTTAGTGAATTTTGAAATCTCCCAGAAAGTTTGTCCTAGAAATTTTAAAGTTTTAAAAATTTGAATTAAAAAAATACTGCCGATTTTGAGGTTACAGTGCTTTATTTTAAACCTTTCAAAATTGGGAGATTTTGTGGAGGTTTACAATTTAAAGTTTTTTCCCCCTTGGTTTTGTGAGGTCGAGTATGGTTTTGTTTTTGCTATCTCCCACAAAATCTGTCCTGAAAATTTTTATGAGTTTCGAAATATTGAGATTTTTGGGAGATTTAAAACTTCGAATGATTTTGGTAGATTTTGAGAGGATTTTTTATGGTTTTTGGTGTTTTTGTTATCTCCTACAACAGGGGTGGCGAACCTATGGCACGCGTGCCCAAAGTGGCACGTAAGGAGAAATCATCTGGCACGTAACGTATCGTGCGATTTTGATTTATCGTTTGTCTTTTTCAATCATTGTTTCATTTATTCTAATTAAAGCATTTTCGTTTAATTTATTTAAATATCGTTATTCGAAGTTTAAAACTTTGGCACGCATAAACATCTTTAAAGCTAACAAGTAAGTATGCTTACAGTATGGAAGCGGGCTCAAAAAGGTTCGCCACCCCTGTCCTACAAGATCTGTCCCAGAAGTAATATTTTATGGACATATCTTACTAATAAAAANACCAAACGTCTATGACTAAAAAACTAGATTTATATAATTGAAACTGTTAGGGAGAAAAGATATATAATGGATTTTGATCATACACTCTTCAGAATTTAGAACCAAACATATTTGATACAGTAAAGCGGTAAAATTTTGGGAAAGCAAAATTCTGATTTAAATAAATGATTTCTAAAAAATTATTGTTAAGTATTAAAATAAAAACCGCTAAACAGATGCACATGATTTCATTAAACCCATTAAAAATAAGCAGACGCTTTCTATATATATCCGTGACAAAAATTTAATAGTTTATCTAAGCTGTTAAATTTTTTCAAGCAATTTAATAAGTATTGGCTGATCTCTATGTTTTCAAAATGGCTCAAACTATTTACTCTAATAATTTTATTTCAAATTATTAATAATCAACTAGATATTTCTATATATAATAGATAGCTGAGATTATTTATATTATCTTCTAATACAAGAATAACCAAGGATTAAGACTATTTTAACTAAAAATTTGATATACACTCATTCTTAATGAAAAAAAGTCTGAATAAATTAACAATCCCTGGTTTCGGTTCATATTTAATGTATATTCCAATTTAAGTAAATATATTACTTTAAACTCTTTTGTTTATGGAATGAAAAGATGAATTTATATACGAAGATTGAATTTGGAAGAATTTAGTACTTTTTCTTAATTTTCTTGTCTTTTAGTCTAGATTGCAATGCTAATGATAATCTTTTACAAGAATATTTTGGATTGATGCGATCATTAATCATTTTCATATATTTTATGTAAAAATTCTGATATCTACAAACATTGTAATCTGATTGTTAAATATTTTATTCTTTACCGTTAATATTGTTAGAATTTTTCTGTAGCTTTAATCTGGCAAAGGTCCCTAATCTTATATTACATTGTCCGAATAGACTACTTGAAATTACATATTTATAGATCGAAAATTATTCATTCAGATTATCGTTTCACACAGTTTTAACATCCGTGTACTTCTTTTAATTTTCGTAAGTGTCGAGTAAACCTTGTAAAAAAAAAATCGTGAAAATTACTCAATTAAGCACTTATCATAACTTGATTAGGAGAATTCATGCAAAATATATAATTTATCGAGAAATATATACATTTAAAATAATTCGTTGCCGCAGTATCTTCTCTTAATAATGTTTCTATGCGCCAATGGTATACCAGTATAGCCGAAAATTGCCACACGCCCCTTTGAAGACCTTTTGCGTACCGCACTGCTAAATATCGATTTATGTCATTTTCCGATCTCTTGGACATTATTATTCTAATTCAAAAAATAGACAACCAGAAATAGCGGATTATTTCCGTGATGCAGAAAAGATATAAATAAAAGATTCAACTTTAAAGTTTTTATTAAATAGTTTCATACTGCAATGCATAAAATAATTAATTTAATTTTATTATTATTTCTATTTTTTTCGCTTAATAATTTTTCAAACTAATAAGTAATTTATTAAATAATTTCATAAGATTATTTTTTTAGAATTTTTCCATTTGTAAAAAATATATTTTTATTATCCTAATTCCTAAGAAAAATCTCCCATTAATCTAAAACTTAAGCGATTAAGCTTATGTGTTAGTAGGAAAATAGCATTTAACAGTTTCTATGACTTCGAACAGGACAGATTTTCATTGAGAATATGATAAAGACACGGTGACACTATTCATTAGTGATAGTGTCAAACTAGTCAATATTGTCGATCACACAGTATAATGACACAATGAATGTTAACAGATAATTAACAATAAATATCAAAACAGATTATCAGTAAAATATTTAATCGATACATTTAAAACTAAATATTAAAATAAAAATTTTGTAAATTTCATAAAATATTAAATTTACTAACAAACTAGCAAACTTTTAAGAAATTAAGAATTGGCATGGAATATTCATCTTCACTCATCGATGAATGTAGCTAATAGTAATTTCTAGAGATGTTA